CCAACCCAATTCTGCGGAATCAGAATCAAAGTCGAGTTTAAGCAAGCGAATGAGCCAATTGGAGTAAAGTGCCATGCAGATTTAAATTTTTCCCACTTGTGACGAATGCAGCTATCGATTTTTTTTGCATGCTAGCATGCTACTTAACACTCGTGTCAGTCAGCTGTTGGCTCTCACGCTGGCCAATAGAATCTTCCTGCCTATTCGTGGCAGCCAGATATAGGCTCTCACTCTGGACAGTAGAAAATGGCCGCAAACTACATGAAAACTGCCGTAGAAGCATGAAAAAATGGATTATTTCCACTATCGATGGGAGTTGAGAAATGCAAAGTCGGTCTTGGCCTTCCCGCTAACTTGGAGCATATGCATGTAAATTTTGGTGCAAATTCGTCGAAAATTGCGGCCGTGTATTCGTTACACCCCCCTGCTTTTATAGATAGAGATATCAATTCAAGATGTGGGCGAAGATGGCTCTCCACAACTTCTTGTATTTTATTGCTCTTTTTGCTTCACTTCTGCCTTCCATTCTCAAAAACATATTTTACTAAATGCTCCCCACTTCTTATCTTTCATTCAGTATGTCCTGTGGGTATTAAATTTTCCAAACCGCCCTTCCTCATAATGTGTCATTATAATTTCAGCTGTCTCGTTGTGATTGTTAGTTGATATTATCTTGTCAGCTGCACCTTTTTGTTTAAAGTTTCTATTTACCTTCTATCGTCCACGTTCTTCTCGCGTTCTGTTCATTGTATTCTCAATATTCATCGGTAAAGTATTCTTATTCCACGTGCCATACCTTTGGGTATCACAATTTTAGTTAATTCTCCCTGATTACTCATCAAGTTTTTGTTTTCTCTGCTGTGGCCAGAACTCTTTGGGTCAAGTCACTTTTGGATCAACCAACCAACCAACGCTTGGGGAATTTGAACAATCAACCCCAGTGGACTAAATAAAGGGTTCGGTTATAAATTCCAACAAATATCACCTGAAGAAGACTGAACAGATGAAAAGTCGTGAATATGGTGATAAAGATGAGGACAACAGTCCGAAAAAGTTAAATAGTGTATATAGTTAAAATACCGCATCTCAGACATATAGAAAGAACCTGACAATGTGTTCGTGTAAATGGATGGCAGGAGCGGGCTTGGGGAGATAGTTAGGAGTTTCTGAGAATTACGATGAATAGGAAGTTGTGGAGAGTCATGATTATTCATTTTCTAAATGGACACGGTGAGTAAGAGTAGAAGGGGCATTTTACGCCTAATAAAATTATATTTTTTTCCCGTTGTTTGGTTTTAATCCCAAGAAAGTTATCTTTAAAGATAGCGATATAAGACCACAAAGCAAAAAGCGAAGAAGAGGCATATGGCGTTTATTCAAGATTGTATTATTTTAATTCAAATCATATGATCTTTTATTCAAAGTCTAATTATTTTTATTCAAGAAATACGTCTTCAGATAAATATATAAAGCTAAGTGCTTTCAAAGTGAGAATTTATTGGCTTAGTACATTATCGCACATTTTGGAAATCGTTGTCTTTAATTTGCTTCTCCCTGTCACCTGAGCAGACTATCATGAGGCAAGTAGATAAAAATCTATCGACTATAAAATGACGTGACATACTAAACATTCCTTTCGTTTGTTTTCGTGCTGCGCTAATTATAGTTCAAAATTTATCACTGATACCATCAAAATAAGGTTGGCGATCTTTAAGTAATTTCTCAGTTGGTTATGTTTTCTAGAATTTTGATATGCGCATGTAGGTCTATTATAGCACGTACAGAACAGTTCTGTTTAGTAAATAGATTAAAAGTGAAACTAACCAAATGAGGCTGGCACGACACACACAAAAATATCTGTCTATATCTCTGAGATGAGGTATTATGATTATTTACATTGCAGGTATATCTCGGGTTACGTCGTTTCGAGTTAAGTCGTTCTCGATTATACGTCGTTTGTCAAAAATATATATATTTTATTCGACTTTATGTCTGTCTACAACAAGTATTGAAGTCGTACGGTGAAGTAATGGAAAGCGGCTTGGATTTAGGAATCGGAGAGTCGAGTTCGAATTCCAGTCTAATCCATTACATTCACTTACGTGCTAATACCCTTGGGAAGAGTATAAATCCTCTTCTTCTCCCCCTGCTATGGGTAAATAGCAGGACAGACTGGGTTCTATAGCTTTAGATGGCAACTGGACTAGGAGAAGGAAAACTCTGAATTCAAACCTGCTCTTAGAGAAGGGTGAATGGAGTCTCTCTGAGCCTTGGTTGGCAATACATTTAGTGTTGGTGTCACGATAAAAACACCCTTGATAGCCCTAGCGAAGCATCAAGAATCCAGCTATTTGACAAGATTATGAACTACACCAATCAAAAGTATTGGTGAGTTCAATCTCGGCTGAGGCCGCATGATGATGATGGGTAAATAGCAGGACAGACTGGGTTCTGTAGACTTGTATGGCAACTGGTCTACCGCACAAAGAAATGGCAACCTACTGCGAGAAAGCATCTGCCTTGTAATTCATGTATTGAAAGATACATGATCGCCTAAGCGGATATCACGCATGACACACAACTGACTGATAATAAATTGTAAACTTTAGATAATTTTCCTTGATATAATTTTTTCTTTATATATCCCTCTCAGGTTTTATTCAGGTTTTGTAGGCAAAACATCCGCTATTGAAAAAGGGGCACTAAATTTTATCGCTTGATTTCGTTTTTGACTAGTTTTAGAGTTGTTTTTCTATTTTAGTATTTTATTATGTCGTAGATTACTGTAGAAATTGCAATTTGTAGCAAACGTTCCGAAGTTAAATATCTCTATGGACCACTAAAATATTATTGTGGACCGCCACTGCTATTTTTGTGTGGATCCCCAATAATATTACATTGATCCTAGGGTGTACTTGCACCACGGTTGAGAAACACTCGTCCAAATAAAGAGGCTTTCATTTATTTTAACGGATTCTGCCGCTTCGCTTAATATTGCCGCTCCTTTTCTTTTCGCCGTAATTGTTTTTTTCCACGTGTATCATCGCAGCGAAAGTTGTATTTAATGAACGCCGGCGTTCTCCATAATATTGGTCAGTTGATTTAATTGATATTTAGAGTGATGTTTTTATGTGACATCCTATCAGAAAAGGTAATCATGACACAAAACAGAGTCATTTGTTTTTATTTGTAACTTCCCATCACGCTAGACAACCAGTTTCAGTGGTCGCCACCAGTCTAGAGAACTAGATTCTGTAACCCTCAGTCTATCGAACCAGTCTCTGTAAGTGCCATAAATATAGAGAGCCAGTTTCTGTAGTGTGACCCCTAGCATAGAGAAAAAGTGCCAGTCTTTGTAACTGACACCAATCTAGAGAATAAGTTTATTCCTTTTTCAATGGTTGCATGGCCTCTATCAGTCTAAAGAAGTCTCTGTGGTTTCAATCTGAGTGCCAATCTCCGTGGTTGCCACTAGGGTGCCAGTCTCTGCGGTTGCCACAGTCTAGAGGGACAATGTGGTTGCCACAAGTCTAAATCTCCGAGCCACCAGTCAAGTTTTTGTAGTTGCCACCAGTCTAGATTCTCAGTCTCTGTGACTTTCACCTAGAGAACCAATTCCAGTGGCAATGGTTGAGAATAAGTTTATGAAAGCCATTGGTTGCTCTATGGTTGTCACCAGTCTAGAGTGCCAGTCTCTGTGGTTGCCAACAATCTAGAGTGCCAATCTCCGTGGTTGCCACAAGTCTAGGGTGCCAGTCTCTGCGGTTGCCACCAGTCTAGAGGGACAATCTCCGTGGTTGCCACAAGTCTAGAGTGCCAGTCTCCGTGGTTGCCACCAGTCAATAGTGCCATTTTCCGTAGTTGCCACCAGTCTAGATTCTCAGTCTCTGTGACTTTCACCCACCTAGAGAACCAATTCCAGTGGCCACCACAAATCTAGAGAATAAGTTTATGTGACTGTCAGCAGTCTAGAGAACCACTTTCAATAGTTGCATAAGTCTAGAAAGCCATTCTTCATGGTTGCCGCCCGTCTAGAGTGCCAATCTCCGTGGTTGACACAAGTCTAGCGTGCCAGTCTCCGGGGTGGCCACCAGTCTAAATTGCCAGTCTCCGCGGTTGTCACCAGTCTAGAATGCCAGACTCCGTGGTTGCCACCAGTCTAGAGTGCCATTTTCCGTGGTTGTCACCAGTCTAGAGTGCCAGTCTCCGTGATTGCCACCAGTCTAGAATGCCAGATTCCGTGGTTGCCACCACTCAATAGTGCCATATTCTGTGGTTGCCACCAGCCAATAGTGCTATTTTCCGTGGTCGACCACCAGTCTAGATTCTCAGTCTCTGTGACTTTCACCCACCTAGAGAACCAATTTCAGTGGCCACCACAAATCTAGAGAATTAGTTTCTATGACTGCCAACAGTCTAGATAAAGGCTTTTAATTGTTGCATATTTCTAAGGAGACAGTCTCCGTGGTTGCCACCAGTCAAGATTGACAATTTCTGTAATTCCAGCCAGTCAAATCATCTAATCCATCGTTCTGGGGAGAAGAAATAGATTCATGTCTCTCCCGGGAGTATTTTTGCAAAAGTGAACGAAACAAATTTGGTCAGTATTTGGACACGGCTTGTAAACTGGTGGATTCCATTTTATACACTGATAACCGTTACACGAGCCATGCATCTTTACCCCTGTTAGTTTCCCTAAAAAAAACAAAAAACCCGAAAGCATGACATATACGAAACAAAAACAAGCCTTCACGTGCAAGACCGCGGAAGAATATAGCTAAAAGCTAGATATGAAGACAAGCAATTTAACAAATGATCTTAACGTGTATTCTGTATCTTTTCTATTTTTTGAATATTCAGAAATAGAGAAGTCAGTTCTTGGGATGAACAAGTAGTGCGTCTTGTACAGTGAACATTAATAAAAACAATCACAGTTTCCTATCGTGTTCAACATTTTATTCTGGAAATAGAAAATTCAAGTCAGACAGAAAATTTTTCAGCACAACCTCATCTATCTATCTATCTATCTATCTATCTTGTTCAAAATTTGTTGTATTTATAGGAGAATGGCGTTCCATATCAGAGATATAACCTTTACAGATACACATAGTTTAGACGCAGGAATCAAACTTAGGAAGCAAATATTCCTATGGCTGTATGTGGAAATGGATGCAGGTCACTGGCGGGACTGAAGTGTCACATACGACACAAATATAAAAAGTAGATGAAACTGTCGGATCCACATACGCCGAAATCGACGGGAGAGTCCATTATATATATATATATATATATATATATATATATATGTGTGTGTGTGTGTGTGTGTGCGTGTGTGTGTGTGTGTGTATGTATGTGTATATATGTATGTGTTTGTATATAGTAAATATATATATATATATATATATATATATATATATATATATATATATATATATATAGTTAAAAAAATTAGGAGATCAGTTAATCACGTAACCTTGGTTTCAACTTTTCCGTATCTTCGGGCAAGATTGGACTCAATTATTTCCTAACGCTTTATTATTTATAAATAGACCCACAACGTAAATTGTAATATAAGGGAGGAGAAAAGCAAGAGTATTGAAATTATATATATATATATATATATATATATATATATATATATATATATATATATATATATATATATATATATATATATATATTAACATCTTTCTATCTATGCTAAATATAGCTCTGTTTGGCTAATTCTCTAAAAGGTAGGGATGATTTGCATTGAAATTCAGCATTTAAAACCTTCATTTTTAATCACTTTTAATATCTTATATCTAAGGCCGTTTGAAAATATGAAATTATTTAAACTTTCTTACAAACTGAATTTTTTGTGTTTATTTAAAAAGAAAATCACTTCTTCATTTCTTCTATATTTCTTTCTTTTATTGTTACATTCCTTTCTCCGTTTTTTTTTTCATTCCTTCTTTACTTTGGTCGTTCGTTCTTTCCTTCTTTCGTTCCTTCTCGCCTTCCTCTTACTTTTCCTCTTTCTTCCTCCTTCAATTCCTTACTCTTAATTTGCCCTTATCCTTCTGATTCCGTTGCTTGGGTGATTGTCATAACTAATTAGCCTACATCTGTCAATCTTGACCAGTCAAGTGAAAATTAATAAAAACGTTTCTGTTCTTTTCCTTTGATTCCTTCACAAACAACTTATTGGAATCATGTTTAATCATGTCCTTTGTTTCGTCGTCCTTATTTTTCTGTCCTGCCTTCGATTTACTTCCATTCTTGTATTTTTCTTACCATCTTCTTTCCATTTTCGACTCTTGTGTTTTTGGTTCTCTCACATTCACAATGAAATAACATTCTCTTTTCAATATCATAATACTGGTTACGAAGTCCAACATGAAGGCTTATTAGACTGGCGTAGTCTAAACAACAGGTTTTTATAATTCGATACCGGATACTTGATAGGAAATAAAAAAAAAGGAACATTGTTCGAATTTAATAAGAATATACAAAAAGTGATTCTTATCTCAGTGTTACTTGTAATATGAGCAATATCATTTTATTGACGATAAACTACATCCAGCTGCAAGGCCACTGATTAGGAGATCGAAGGCTTTGAGGAGCGTGGGACCACCTCTTATTTGATGTTGTTCCCAAGTCCACCCTGACCCGAGGTGGTAGCATCTGTTAGGGTCCCAGCTATAGGCAAATAGTGCCCCACTCTAAACAAATATCAAAACACAAGGAAAGTGTAAATATATGTTTTTATAGTAAAATTATCTGCAATATTTTTTATAAAAAAATTCACAACTATACGTTTTCGTCGTCAAATTACCATGAATACATTTAAAATAAAATTACCAACAATACATTTTATCGTCTGCAAATTAAGTATTTAAAAATCATACGTTTATCCTAAATGATGTACAAAATGTGGTGTATAAAATTGCATTCAAATCATATGTAGATGAAGTCATAAAACTGCGTACAAACTAATTAGATTTCGGCATGAAATAAACCATAGAGGTTGATATGCCTTCAAACAAAATCAACCAAAACAATCAATCATTCTATTTCTATTATTATTATTAGTTTATTATTATTATTATCATTTGTTGTAACCTAGAAAAGGTTACTGGATGTGGAAGAACCAAAACGGAGGTTGGAAATGAAATGATAATCTTTATAACATCAACAAAATACAAAATTCGCCAGCGGTGTGAAGAAGGTAAACCACTGCTAGTGATGGACGACTTAGACAGCATATTACCTCCATTTACAATAGTTTCCAACGTCTTTCTGAGGATTGTGACATGCCCATTAGTGTTCATAGATACGGTATATAAAATTATTATTATTATTTCAACTAATTACACTCTGTTTCTCTCTATACATCAATATATGTTAAGGTAAACAATCGATATAATAGATAATTTGCTATAACTACCTGGGCAGTTGAAACACCTGGGGCACATAATGAGAGAGGAGGGATCGAAGCATTTGGCACACACGGGTCATATTGAAGGAAAGAAAAGCAGACGGTTACAGTGTGCAACGTACCTAAATCAAATGGATGAGGGGAATATTAGGGAAACCAACAATGCTTAACGCTATTTTATACTAAAGTTCATCCAATACAAATTTCAAGAGATACTCAAAATAGAAGGGTTAGTGATTATGAATGAAATGGGTGATATGAATGAAAGAGAAGTTTATAGGAAGTGAGGATTATGTCGGGTTGATAACAATTGACTCGGGCCTTGAAAAGATTAAGATTTTAGAGAAGCGTCCACCGAAGTTACCAGTTGAATTTCCCAAGAAAAAAAATCTGTTTGAGTGGAGCTCTCTTCTTACATTTGGCGTAAGGAGAAAATGAGCTACAAACGCCGGGAAGTTATGGAGATCACCCATGTCATGAAGGGTATTTGCGCGTAAGTGAATATAACAAACACGAAGCTTCTCGGCTTGACGGTTGAACTCTCTGCCTCTGAGCAGACAGGAACCCGGACGAGGCTCTGCCGAAGGGCAGAGTCTCGTTCAGGGTGGGTGACCAACCCGATCCCATTTATACGGGTTCTACGGGCATTTTTTGGCCGAGCCTACGGGCTCGGGAAACCCACGTTAAACTCGGCCTTGTGCCACATGCAGCCCTCGTGGGGTGGTGGCTAGATACCGAATATAACAAACAGATTTGGAACTCGGCTCTTCGATTAAAAAATTTCGTGCATCAAAGCTTTACAGCACCTGGTATTCCGAAGCAGTCTCTCATCTCGGGGGTGACCAGGCTCGACGTTGCTTAACCTATGAAAAATTATGTAAGTATCTAAGTACCAACGAGGAAAGCGATATTTATTCTGTTAAAATACACAGAAATGTGACACATGGCCGAAAAGCGGAGATTGGGGAAACGACGGTCTTCTGTCTTAACTATAACTTAGCTAGCCACAAACATTGACCCAATCATACGAACAATATTCCTTACACCAAAACAACACATTCTTACGTACCTTTCTTACTACAACCACCATAATACCGCATTGTCTCTATGAAAATACAAACTAGTCCCCATATTTACAATTCATAGTCTGTGGGGGGAGGGGAATAAAACAACAACAAGAAAAGCTGATCAGAACAATTGCCGCGAAAATATTTATACAAAAGGCGAAGGTACCTACATTACGGCGATAGGAAAGTGACTAAACGTGAGATGCCAGATCTGAACTGATAACGTTGCAGATATATAGCAGAAGCATGAAACCTGATACGGTAGCGATATTCGATGCATGAGGAAATGGTAGACGTATAAATAGGTAAGATCGATTTTGGCGTAAAATATTGTATAACACGACTTTTCTAATGGTAGTCTTAGCAATTGATTCAAAATAATAATTCCGTATCATGTGAGTGGAAAACGTAAGATCAGCAAGGCGCAGTGGCTAGCTTTCTCGAAGGTTAGCATTAGCCATGCTGGTGGAAGGCAAAAGTGGCACTTTGGTTTGGTTTGATTTGTTTTACGGCATATCAACCTCAATGAGTTATTTAATGCCGACAAAATTATTATTTCTGGTAATATTTTTTCGTTAAAAAATGTATACCTGGTAATATCTTTTTTTCCAAAAATGTATTGCTGGTAATAATTTATTTTTAACAAAGTATTTCTGGTATTAAAACCTGTTTTTACACTTTCATAGTCTTTTGACCTCAGTTTGGGGGTTAACTTTTTATCCACAGTTAGGACTATAACAAGTGCTGCCACCGCGGGTCAGGGTGAACCTGGGAACACCAGCAATTAAGAGGTGATTCCACGCACCTCAAAACCTCCTGATCAGAGGCCTTACTGCTCGACGTAGTTTATCGTCTAGCCCAGGACCCGGGTATAGTTCATCGATATTCCCAGGATGGAGCAGTTCCGTTTTGAAATATAAGCCTTATTCTCGTTCCCATTTTCTTCCTCGTTGATTACATGTTCTGTCCATGGTATTCTCAGCATCCTTCTGTAGAACCACATATCTTCGTCATTCACTACCATATAGGACAGGACATAGCAGTTCGGTACACTTTTTTGTTTCGAACGAAATTTTTCTATTTCTTAATACTTTGTTTTGTTTCTCTAAGGCATCTTTCGGTATCTCATCGCTCCTTTGAATTGCTCTTTCACATTTTAAAAAATTTTCTAATAATATTTAAGGGTTAATCGTCCGCTTCAGTTTTGCTAATTCCTGTTCTTTTAATGTCCTCTCTTCTTAACAAGGATTTTTTTTCCTCAGGAATCGCTTGCGTTTTAGCGGCTTTATTGCCTTGTTTGGGGTGAAATGATGAAGAAATGAGATGCCTGACCGAGCGGTTTGAGCGTTCCAACAATGGGAAAAGGGGATAAATTATAAAAAATAAGCCTTTATTTATTTATTTTTTTTGATGGAATGGATAAAGTCGTGTTGATATAATTCCTCTGTGTGTGTGCGTGAGTGAGTTTGGGTGTGTGTTAATGTTCATAGAAAATTCTGGGACAGAGATATTGATTGAGTGGGAATATGAAAACAGGACACTCGAAAGAGTTTATTCACATCGCCTATATATATATATATATATTTATATGATGTTTATTTTATTTTATTATTTTGATTCAGAGGACATTTCTATACGAGAATATTTTACATGTATCAATGGACAGCTCTCTCAGCACAAAACATGAAATATACCAAACACACTAACCCGATTCACAGAAAAATTTAGAAAGACGAAAAAAAATAAAGAAAAAAAAATGGAGGAGAGATTCATATAAATATGTGGCTTGAGTAACCGTTTATTTTCTATTCATTTTTGGATAAACAGGCGTTTGTGGCTAGTTGAAAGTCACAGATCGCGTTATAATAGTTGATTTTATGTCCAGCCCTGCGCAGCTGGTAAGATTTTAGTGAAAATAAATCTATTTTGTAAAATTGCAAAGAGAAGTCACTTCAGTCCAAAAATATTTGTTTATGTTATCGCGAGAGGTGATTTCGATTGGTGGCTGTCTTTATAGAGGAGAAGGATCTGAGTTAGGAAAACATTCAAATCGAGATTTATTCTTTCTGGAATTTAGCAACAAATAAACTAAAGAGGTGCAAATCTGACATTCCTAAAATGGTTTGAAAAGAACAAGATGTGACCAGATTCTATTCAAAGTAAAAAAGAAAAAAAAGTCAGATTTAAACCCTACACCCTCTATTTTCTTCTTTATATTCGATTCACTAAGCGTGGTTCAGATATGGCACAAGGTCGAACGTATGAACACCCAGTGAGGATCGAACTCACTTCTCAGTTACAATTGATCTGTGAGACACGATTATTGAACGAATTGCCTTTTTTTAGCGATCTACTAAGCTCTGAAATTATGAACACCCGGTGAGGGTCGAAGACACTTCTCAGTTGTTATTTCTCAAGTTTGTTAAACAGAACACTACATCGAAGTTCCCAAACAGCGATTTAAATAAGCATAGCTTACATATGTCACAAGACCGAAAGTAAAACGTACCCAGTGAAGATCGAACAAACTAATCAGTCGTAATTGATCTGCAAGACAGTTTTGCTAAACATTACACCACGCCGACTGCAACGTCCTCTATATATTTTTCTTTCAGGGTGACTCTGCTCACCTGGGATGGAGCAAATACATTGAGTCAATTGCTTCGTCCACCGCAAGGAAAGTTGGCTCCCTGTGCCGCGCCAGGAAATTTTTCTCCCCGGAATCGATCCTTCAGATCTACAAATCAACAATTAGCCCTTGCATGGAGTATTGCTGCCATATATGGTCTGGAGCCCGTTCTGTTTGCCTCGGGGTTCTTTATAGGCTCCAGAGGCGGATATGCAATATAATTGGCTCTGCTCTGGCATCTCGTCTACAGACACTTTCTCACAGACGCGCAGTCGCTTCTCTCTGTCTTTTTTACAAATACTTTCATAGTAATTGCTTCGAGGAGCTGCATTCGCTGGTTCCCAAACTTCATGAGTTCAAGCGCCCTACGAGGCTGGCATCCCGCTCTCACCCTTTCACTGTCGAAACTATTAAATGTAGCCGTCTCTTCGACTCCAATAGCTTCATGTTTCGCACCTCTCGTATGTGGAACTCCCTTCCCTATTTCAGTTTCCCTGAGAGCTATAATCTTCAACTAGTCAAATTTAATGTCAATCGACATCTCCAGTTGCCTTGATCTATCCACTATCCTTCTTCTCATCCTTTCCTCTATCACTCCTATCTGATCTTGCTCCAAATCTTCTGTAACCCCTTGCGTCTTAGTGGCTTCTCGCCTTGCTTGGGGTGAAACTCTTAAAAAAAAAAACAAAAAAAAAAACTCTCAAACCGTTCCATACTGTCTTTTGTAGCAAACTATCGTTGGGTTGCTTGACAATTTCTAACCGGAATTCTGTTTTAGGGTACAGCTATTATCTAAGATTACGAATTTTTCATTCACCCTTGTGTCGCTTTTCTGTTTTATCCACAGAATCAATTAATTCCTCACCAGCCTTAAACGCGTTTGAATCATTTGTCTGTTTCTTCCACTGAATCGAGATATATGACGTTGCAACAATTACAGACTCAGAGCTTCAATTCACAAAAGTCAAGGAACAGGATATATTTTAACTTACAGTGATGTGTTTTACAGAGTACGAAGATAGACATATAAGGGAGATTAAAGGATAAAGCAGCCGAAACCAAGAAATGATAATTCGAATAAAAAATATAATAAAAATAATTCGTCATTGAAAAAAAACAAACAAACAGATAAAACCATTAACAGTGTTATATGAATGTCCACCTACTTATTTAAAATTACCATCTAAAATAAAATATGAAGAATTAATCTGTTGATTTTTGGATTGATTGATTTGTATTTTACGGCTTATTAACCTTTCGCAGGTTATTTAAAGCCAGCAAATATTTTTCGAGTGTAAGAATATTTTGGGTGATGATAATTATTTTCTGATACAAGTCCTGCTATTTAACTCATAACTGAGGGAACAGGGAAGAAGAGGTGAGTTTGTACCTTTCCCAGAGATATCCTCGCATAATATGACGGACGCGACTGGTATTGGGACACGACTCTCCTATTACTCACGCCAAGCTGTTATACAATACACTTGGTATCTATCTATCTATCTATCTATCTATCTATCTATCTATCTATCTATCTATCTATCTATCTATCTCAAGTTTATTCATATCTATCTATCTATCTATCTATCTATCTATCTTTTCTCACAAGGGATGATTTCTAATTGAGAAATTTTCTTGCCTCGAGGAACATTCCGTTCACTTTACTAAGGTGCACAGTATCTAGCCCCCCCCCCCACGAGGGTTGCATGTGACACAAGGTCGAGTTTTATCGTGGGATTCCTGAGCCCGTAGGCTCAGCCAAAAATATGCCCGTATGACTCGTAAAAACGAGATCGGGTAGGTCATTCACCCCGAACGAGATTCTGCCCTTCGGCGGAACCTCGTCCGGGTTCCTTTCTGCTCAAAAGCAGAGAGTTCGACCGTCAAGTCGAGAAGCTCGGCTAAGGTGCACAGTTAGAGCAAGCTGATGTTCTTAGTCAGTATATTTGTGTATTTGTAAAATCTGTCATACCTAAGCATCTATCTATCTATCTATCTATCTATCTATCTATCTATCTATCTATCTATCTATCTATCTATCTATCTCAACTTTATTATATCTTTTTTTTTTACAATAATGCTAAGGCTCGGGGCCACTCAAGGTAGAGAGTTACGGTAAGGGGTTGTTTATATGGATAGGAGGGGAAGATAACGGTTGACTCTAGACTTGAACAGGGTAAGATTGTAGTGATCGGGAATATCTATCTATCTATCTATCTATCTATCTATCTATCTATCTATCTATCTATCTATCTTTGGAGCCGTAGAATGATGTTGTGTGTGCCAAGATGCGCGGTTATAATTACTTTTCCCAAAGAAACAGAATAATATTTGCTAGACGGTACAAAATCCGAAATAAGCTTTTCCGAAAGGAAACGAAAAACGAAGCGAGCAGCCGCGAGAAACTTATTCATTTTTGAAGCAGGCTACTACACCTTCCTTTGCCACCATCCCCAATCTTCGCCCCAGGAAAACTAATAAACGCACGCGCGAGCGCGCACACACACACGCATACACGCAAACACACATACACGCACAGGTGCTCGTGCGTACACGCATGCGCTAAATAAATAAAAAATAAAAGCGTCGAAATAGATAACAATAGGACGAAGAACAAATAAAAGGAAAGAGAAAGTGAAACTTAGATCGACATTAAACTAAAACCGATCGATTTAGGATCGAAACTGAATCCTTTCTTTTCATTTTTTTTTTTTTCTTTTCTCTTCCTTTTCAATTTCTTTATCTTAATGTATTGTGACGTCGATTCGTGTCGTGCTTTCAAAGCAGATTTTCAACTCTATCAGAAGATATCTTGTTTTTTTGTTTTGTTTTCTATTACTTTTCCATTTCATTATTTGTTGTTTTTTTTTTAGTTTGCATATTTAGTTCTTTGTCTATTCAGTTCCTTGCTTTTTCCTCTTCGATTTTTTTTTTACCGTTTCGCGTCTTGTGGCACACTGTGAATATATGAATGCCACGTTCCTCGATTCTTGGCAAACATCTCTGACATTTCATCATATTTGAAACACGTACAAGATTTGTATAATTGCGCTTTGTATATCTATCTATCTATCTATCTATCTATCTATCTATCTAAATCCATTCATTATCTATCTATCTATCTATCTATCTATCTATCTATCTATCTATCTATCTATCTCAATCATTCCCATGCCTATCTATCTATCTATCTATCTATCTATCTATCTATCTATCTATCTATCTATCTATCTATCTATCTATCTTCATTCATTATCTATCTATCTATCTATCTATCTATCTATCTATCTATCTATCTATCTATCTCAATCATTCCCATGATCTATCTATCTATCTATCTATCTATCTATCTATCTATCTATCTATCTATCTATCTATCTATCTATCTATCTATCCCAATCATTCCCATGTATCTATCTATCTATCTATCTATCTATCTATCTATCTATCTATCTATCTATCTATCTATCTATCCCAATCATTCCCATGATCTATCTATCTATCTATCTATCTATCTATCTATCTATCTATCTATCTATCTATCTATCCCATTCATTATCTATCTATCTATCTATCTATCTATCTATCTATCTATCTATCTATCATATCTATCTCAATCATTCCCATTCTATCTATCTATCTATCATTCATCTATCTATCTATCTATCTATCTATCTATCTATATTCATTCATTATCCTATCTATCTATCTATCTATCTATCTATCTATCTATCTATCTATCCCAATCATTCCCATGATCTATCTATCTATCTATCTATCTATCCCAATCATTCTATCTATCTATCTATCTATCCCAATCATTCCCATCTATCTATCTATCTATCTATCTATCTATCTATCTATCTATGGTGAAGTGGTCACTTATAATAAAATTCGATAAGGCTTTTATCCAGTCAACCTATGCATATATTTTAGAATGAAATATAAATATTCAATCCGCGTTCGAATAATGGACTTGAGAGGTCCTCAATATTGCAAGCATTTAAATCCCTGTAGGCTACCTGGATTGGTATACACCTGATGAAGGATCTGGGAACAACGGCCGAAACGTTTTGATAACAAAGATGAGGACACTAATCTACACGTAAATAGTTTAAATAATGATAACTTTTCGTCCCAGAAATTAATAAAAAAAACTTTTATTAGTTTATATTCCATTCAGGAGTGGGTGGTCATGGCTCTCCACAACTTCCTGTCTGTATTATATTAAGTAACTTTTGACCCTCTACTATAAATCTTTGTCCTTGTTCTGTCATGCAATCTCTTTAAGTAAGTTACTCTGTTTTCCATCGATACTGTAGTATTCAATATGTCCTGTGAGTGTTTAATTCTCCGAGGCGTCTTTTAAACTTTAGAAAAAATTCTGCTGTTTCTTTCTACGTTTCCTTGTACGTCTTATTTTCCTTACGAATTCCACGTTGCTCATGTTTTGTCGTTGATACACTTAGAAGCACATCTCTGTCGCTTCAAGTAAGCTTTCATCTTTCGTGCTTCGACTCCATGAATTTAAGCGTACTACTAGATTAGTAGTTAGGTTTCACCACTTTACTGCTGAATTAGCTAGATATAACCGTATCTTCTATTCTAATAGTTCTCCATCTTGCACTTCTCTGCCACCTACAATCTTCAAACATTTAAATGCAACGCCAATCAACATCTTCTGCTTTCCTGAAATCTGTTCTTTTATTGTCCTTTCTCTTCACTAAAACATTCTCATTCTCTTACAATCCCAGTAACCTCTTGCGTCTTAGGGGCATTAACGCCTTGCTTGAGGTGAAATAATTGAAAGAATGTCTTTTCGTCTGTGATAAAACTGTCCAACATTCACTGACATGTTTTCAAGTCGGGAGTGCCACTAACACGCAAGGGGTTACAGAGAGTGAGAGCAAGAGTAAAGAATGGTGATTGAGGAAAGGGTATAGAGAAGGACGGGGATCAGGATCAAGACATCAGAAGATGTCGTTTAACATTACATTTGAATATTTGATGATTATAGCTATCAGAGAAACAAGTAGGAGGAAGGGAATTCCACTGTCGGGAAGTGCGAGAGAAGAAGCTGTTGGAGTAGAAGAGGCGGTTACATTTAACTGTTTCGACAGTGAGAGGGTGGGAATGAGATACCAACCTAGTAGTACGCTTAAATTCATGCACTTTGGGGTACCAGCGAAAGTAGCTCGTCGGAGCAGTTGCCATGAAAATATTTGTAGAAAAGACAGGTTCCCGTTGTTGCTCTAAAAAACATTAGCACATCCCTAATCTTTTGTTAAATTGTTTAAAGTCCTACACACGGAAGCAAGGCCTCTTAAGATAAGATATATATATATATATATATATATATATATATATATATATATATATATATATATATATAGCCATCGTCCTGGGTAAGACGTTAAACTATATCCGCGTCCTGGGTAAGACGATGAAATACGTCCAGCAACAAGGCCTCTGATCAGGAGGTTTTGAGAAACGTGGAACAACCTCTTAACTGCTGGTGTTCCCAGGTCCACCCTGACCTGGGGTTGTAGCACCAGTTAGGGTCCCAGCTATGGGCAAATAGGTAACTATTACCAGCAATACTTTTTGAAAAAAATTATTGCCAGCAATACAATTTTGAAGGAAAAATATTACCAGGAACAGATTTTTGACAAAGCAAAATATTACCAGCAATAAAAATTTTTCGGTATTAAATAACCCATTGAGGTTGATATGCCGTAAAACAAAATAAACCAAACCAACACATTCTATTCATACAAATCTGTCTTAAAAATGTTGTCTGCATTAAATAACCCATTGTGGTTGATATGCCGTTAAACAAAATAAACCAAACCAAACCATATATATAGGCAATAATCCGTTGGTATATAATCCAAGTGAATCCTATTAATACAATATAAAATATTAAATATTAATACTGATTCACACAGCGAGCTCAATGTTTTAATTAAACAGGGCAACATATTTCATGCAATAGGAATTAAGATTAATCTAAATTCCTATTGTATCATATATATATATATATATATATATATATGTGTGTGTGTGTGTGTGTGTGTTGTGTTTTTTCTCTCTCTCTCTCTCTCGCCCTATATGCGTGTGTGTGTGTTTGTGCCAAGTCCAACAGTAAAAATGTTCAAATCCTGTAACAGCAAAATTGTCCAATTGTTAGATTAAGCTCTGTACCGTTGTATCTTAGAAATGACTAAATATATGTTACTGGAATTGTCCGGGGCTTTTATAACACTATTGGAGTCTACATTGACGGATAATGTATGAATACTCTCTAAGGTTAACAAGTATCGTGATGAAATCGATCATAAACGAAAATAACATGATCATTAATCAATCATAACTAAGGATTGGAAGCTCATGAAGGATTGAAATAAAGTTCCAATCAATCAATATATATATATATATATATATATATATATATTTATTCCAGGGTCGTTTTTCAACATATTCAACATGATCTTTGCCCTCTCTAACTTTCTAACTTTCTGTCCTGGAGTAACAATGTGCCTCACAGGTTTCATGTACGATTTCTTTTAAGTCATTTTCACTGCTCTTTAGACTGTCATTGCTGAAACTTCTCTCTCACTTG